TGCTCTCAAGGAAACAGAAACTTAGATAATGAGAGTGCTTAGGTAATAAGAGTGCTTCATTTGTGATACAAAACTTGTATGATTGTCAAAGAATATAAAATATAAAACCCATATATATCAACAACGACAGTTGCTGAACCTCTGCACCGGGGGGCGTGGTCACGCACAGAGACATATTAGACGGTTGAACCATAAATTGGCCTTAACACCACATGAAGCGTAAATTCATGGTATGGGCCTTTTAATCAATATGTGTACTATAGGTTATATTTTTTTTTATCAAAAACAAAACGTAACGTAACATTTGATTTGTTTTCCTGATCAAAACATACTAAGCTTACTAAAGCACAGCCGTCCTTTCAGTATCACGGCCTGAAAGAACCTTTAGCGCAGACACAGACGAGGTTTGAGGTCCGTAAAAAGAGCACTTTCACACGCCGTTTATGCGATGGAGTGGAGACCACCTTAGATGAGGTTTTACTTCAAATCTGACAGATATACGGGCTCTGACTCATAAACCAGAACAAAAACTCCACCCCAGCCAGTTCCTTCCGACCTCATCAGATGAAAATCACTCCCGGCCAAGTGCTCTGCCCTTATCATCGGCTTCTTGGTGCCATTGTGAGCCGTGCCAGTTCCACTCAGCTTTCCCAGAGAGTTATTATCCCACTCTGAGTGGAAACCATTCATTTCCCCACTTCAGACGGTAATGAGCAAGTAGAATAATCATCTGCTGCACTCTGCAAAACACAGACAGCACCTGGCTCACACTCAGAGCAACCCTGACTATTACCCAATTTCAGAAAGCTTTTCATTTTCACCCAAACGTTCACAGACACTCGAGGTGCGTCACTGCGAGCGTACCCCTGCTGCGACGAGAGAACCCGCTCCCATCCCACCCTTTGAGGTTCAACAGGAGCAGCCTTTATGTTGACAAAGTCAGTTTTTCTGGGAATAAAATGACGACAATGACCTTTTCCAAAGCAGTAAGGAAAATTATGCCTGCAGGCTTAATTTCTGTTTTGCAACCTTCGATTAGGCAATTCACACTTCAAGGCAAAGCATCAGGTAACACAAGAACTTCACTCTAAAAAGCACAAGTCGAAATCCCTTCTCAACCTAGGTTCAAAAGGAACCGAAAGTAACCTAAACCTCATCTTTCTGAAATTTTATAGTTAAATCAAAAACAAAACACAATCTAAATGTACCAATCTTAGAAACCCGATTATCTCACAGATTTTTTTCCACAATGTTTTTCAACTTATGGATAAAAGTCAAGACTAGTAGCGGCAGATCTCGCCGTCACACAAGAGTTGGCTTACACATCCATGTAAACAAGGTTTCGCAAGAAAACCGAACGGAAAAGGAAGAAAAACCCACCAGCACTTTGTGGTCGACCTTTTTACCCTTATTATCTACTGATACCGGTTTAACTTTGGGTAAAATGAGGACATACAAACAGGTTTTTAACCACCATGGAGGAGGGGGCGGAAAATGAACTGAAATCTGTGAAAGGCTACAAAGATCTAACAGATTGGGGTTAGTGCTGGTATTTAGACAGCAAAGATTTTCCATGGAGCTGTTCTAACAGTGAAAAGTCGCTTTAAAGACGCAGAAATAAAAAAAAAGAACCTGTGGTGGTCCCACTCTGCTCTACAGGGATGAATGTAGACCTAAAATGTCCTGATAAGAGTCCTGATTTTGAGTGTTCATGTTTCCAATTCTCTTTCTCCCAAAATCAGATGCTAGATCCTCTCCTATGGTTTCCTTCAAATGTTTCAAACTGTTTTTGTCCTAAAATCCAGATTTTTTTATCTAAAAAATCTTTTCAACAAAAACGAAAAGACCACAGAAAATTCTGTACTTCAAGCACATTATTTGATGAAATATCCTCAAAAAAAGTCAAAACTTGCATCTAAATAAAACTGCTTAACGTTTCCTAACAACATGCTAATGTTCAAAATGAAAAAATTTTTGTGTTTTTTTTTAGGTGGTTTCAATTTGCATATTTAAAAGCTGCAACTCATCGTGTCTAACCCACACAAGTCTTCCAAAGATGATCGTTTGCTTTAAGACTCATCTAAACTCTGTCCCATCAAAAAAAAAAAAAAAATCACTGACCTTCTGATCATTACTCCTTGAGTTCCACAAGGTTCTGTCCTCAGCCCTGACATTTTTCATTTAGTAAACACAGCGCATTGCACACAAAAAATGGTCTAAACTGCATTCAGGCATTGGTAAAAATCTAAATATTACAAATGAACTGAGGGGATGTTGTTGTGTTTAAAAAAACATATATGCATATATATATATATATAAACACATATATACACAAACACACAGACATATATGTACACATATATACATACACACACACATATATATATATATACACACACACATATATATATACACATACACACATATACTTATATACACACACACACATATATACATACAAAGATATTTATATATATATATATATATATATATATATATATATATATATCTTTGTATGTATATACTTATATACACACACACACATATATACATACAAAGATATTTATATATATATATATATATATATATATATATATAAACACATACACTATATTGCCAAAAGTATTTGCTCACCCATCCAAATTATTGGAATCAGGTGTTCCAATCACTTCCATGGCCACAGGTGTATAAATTCAAGCACCTAGGCATGCAGACTGTTTTTACAAACATTTGTGAAAGAATGGGTCGCTCTCAGGAGCTCAGTGAATTCCAGCGTGGAACTGTGATAGGATGCCACCTGTGCAACAAATCCAGTCGTGAAATTTCCTCGCTCCTAAATATTCCACAGTCAACTGTCAGCTGTATTATAAGAAAATGGAAGTGTTTGGGAACGACAGCAACTCAGCCACGAAGTGGTAGGCCACGTAAACTGACGGAGCGGGGTCAGCGGATGCTGACGCGCATAGTGCGAAGAGGTCGCCAACTTTCTGCAGAGTCAATCACTACAGACCTCCAAACTTCATGTAGCTCAAGAACAGTGCGCAGAGAGCTTCATGGAATGGGTTTCCATGGGCGAGCAGCTGCATCCAAGCCATACATCACCAAGTGCAATGCAAAGCGTCGGATGCGGTGGTGTAAAGCACGCCGCCACTGGACTCTAGAGCAGTGGAGACGCGTTCTCTGGAGTGACGAATCGCGCTTCTCCATCTGGCAATCTGATGGACGGGTCTGGGTTTGGCGGTTGCCAGGAGAACGGTACTTGTCTGACTGCATTGTGCCAAGTGTAAAGTTTGGTGGAGGGGGGATTATGGTGTGGGGTTGTTTTTCAGGAGCTGGGCTTGGCCCCTTAGTTCCAGTGAAAGGAACTCTGAATGCTTCAGCATACCAAGACATTTTGGACAATTCCATGCTCCCAACTTTGTGGGAACAGTTTGGAGCTGGCCCCTTCCTCTTCCAACATGACTGTGCACCAGTGCACAAAGCAAGGTCCATAAAGACATGGATGACAGAGTCTGGTGTGGATGAACTTGACTTGCCTGCACAGAGTCCTGACCTCAACCCGATAGAACACCTTTGGGATGAATTAGAGCGGAGACTGAGAGCCAGGCCTTCTCGTCCAACATCAGTGTGCGACCTCACAAATGCGCTTCTGGAAGAATGGTCAAAAATTCCCATAAACACACTCCTAAACCTTGTGGACAGCCTTCCCAGAAGAGTTGAAGCTGTTCTAGCTGCAAAGGGTGGACCGACGTCATATTGAACCCTATGGATTAGGAACGGGATGTCACTTAAGCTCATATGTGAGTCAAGGCAGGTGAGCAAATACTTTTGGCAATATAGTGTATATACACATACACACATATACATATTCACACACACATATATGTACAAATACACACACATATATATACACATCTACACACACACACGCATATATACACACACACATATATATATATATATATACATACACAGATATATGCATATATACATACACAGATATATGCATATATACATACACAGATATATGCATATATACATACACAGATATATGCATATATACATACACAGATATATGCATATATATATATATATATATATATATATATATATATATATATATATATATATATATATATATATATATACACACACATAAATATATATATATATATATATAAACACACATATGTACAAATACACACACACATATGTACAAATACACACACACATATATGTACACATACACACATATATATATATATAACTACATACACACACATATATATACGTACATACATACATATATGCACACACAAGATAGATAGATAGATAGATAGATAGATAGATAGATAGATAGATAGATAGATAGATAGATAGATAGATAGATAGATAGATAGATAGATTTATTTAAAAAACAGTTGGAAATGCCCGTTTCTGTTAGTATAACTGCATAAGTGAGGGTTACAATAAGCTCCTGGCTACACATTTAGGTCAAAGCTGGTTTAATCTCAACTAAACCTAATTTCTGCTTGTTTGCCTTAGTTCAACAAGCGCGCATATTGAAAGTAATAACTGACTTGTACTATATGCCAACAAAGCTCACTGTAGACTCTCATTCAAATCACACCCGTCTAATGTTAAATTCAATCTTATAATCCATCTCTTTCCACTGCACAGCCCTTCTTTAAACAGACCCTTATTGTTTCCTAATGAACTTAAACTAAACAGACCCAATATGTAGCAGCATGTCTCACTCAGAGCTCCACAAAGGCCCCTTGAGGGCCTTAAGGCCCCATCTTGAGCTGACTAAATATGAAACATGCACAGCCACACAGGAGGCTGCAGGAAAGGTTGTGGGGATTTGTCTTTTTTTTTTCCACCCTGCTTTTCTTCCCCCGCGTCTGCATATGCATTATTTACACCCTGTCACAAGCCGAGCATTGCTTTATGCAGTAGTAATAAACATTGCATTGGAGGAGCATGCATAAGATACCCACCTGAAGAACAGGAGATGAGGAAAACGGCTATGGCCAGTTTTGTAGCGTCTCCCATTTTCCATCCGAATGTGTCCACAGAAAGGATGATTTATAAAAGCAGAAACTCCTCCAAAAAGATTTTTAAAAAACACAGAAACAATCTAAAATTGAATGTCTTGCTCCCCAAAGGAGAAAAGTATCTGGACAATGTACATATTATACTAAAAATGGAAGCTAAATCCAAAAATGTCCAGGAGTGGGTGAGAGAGGAGGGGGGAATGCTCGGTGGTATTTCCAGGTTTTACAGCGAAGCAATGGAGGGCGACTTGGTGGCACCAGACCCGCTGTTTTCATACACTTGCGAGGTCAGTAGCAGCATTCTGGGCAGACAAGCTGAGCGGCGCAGAGAGCTGAGCCACAGCCGGCCAGGGCTAACATCCATCGGACTCCAAACCAAGCGCACTCCGCTGCTTAATCAAACTTCTCGTTGAGCTCATAACCATAGACGTAAAATATCTTTTTCCAGCTGAATAAAAAACATCAAAGCCTCCTTTGAAGAAAACAGTGAATTAAAAAAAAAAAATAGTTTTTTTTTTTCTTTTTAATCCGCGGGGAAGCTCGAGCTTTACCCGACAGTCCAGCGGGGCTGCCCGGCCACAACCACAGCCGGATCCGACCGCTCCAGCAGGGACACAACCGATTAAAAGGCTTCCAGCGGAGTGAAAGGCAGCTCCAAAGTGGCCCAAACAACCGGTTCGGCTTAAATAAGTCGATGAAAGGAGCGGAAACACTATTTTGTGACGGAATTTTTGGCGTAAACTACAGTTAATCCGTGTAGGACGACCTGGATTTTCCAAGTCCGTCTCCTCCTCGGGTCGGGACAATTTCAAGATGGAGTCATTGGTCTGTGTCAAGTCTGCCACACTGAGCCATCCTGTTTCCGGCTTTGGTTTTCAAAATAAAATACAATTATTGAATTATTGAATTATTTAAAACGTCAGTCATCTCTGAAAAATGTAAGCTAAAAAGAATAATGGTTAATGTTATTTTACATTCGTTATATGGAATCTGAATTTCTAGTCAAATTAGAAAAAATAACTGGAATGATCTACAATGGTGTTCTGCAGTGGCGGATCTAGACCAAATGTACCAGGGGGCCAGGAGGGGGCCTGTGTGTTTTCATGAGGGCACAGAAAAGCATGAAATAAAAACAGGACAAGGGATTCAAATATATTAAGAGAGCTGCATGAAGTGAAATTTCTATTCAATTAGGTTTAATACAAATTCAATTTCTTATAAGGTCAATATATATTCATAATTTAGGAATTTTATAAATTTTTCACTTAATTTAATTTAAAATTACCATTTTCTATTAAATCTGAATCAGAACTCAAGAAAAACGGATAAACTCAGCTGTAAAAATTAGAGTATTTTTTTATTTGTTTTGAAATAATAAATAATTAGTAAAACATAATTTGTAAAGAAAAAAATTAAATAGATCCAAAGGTCCTATCAGTAACCATGTCTGTTCCAGCGCATATCATCCTTAGATTGTCTTTTAAGTATTATTTCAGTACAGGGACCATAACAGGGGCCAGGACATTATTTACAGGGGCACTGGACTCCGTGGGCCCCTGTCTAGAACCACCCATGGTGTTCTGACCCAGTAGAATTTGTTTTAATAGTTAAGTCTTTTTATGTATATTTTTTTTAATAACATGTAGGCCTAGATTATATTAATAAGTAGACGTAGACTATCGTTTTTCTTGCTGATTCTTTCCGTTTTATTTTGGAGGTAAGATCTTTAAGCTTCCGGTATGGTGCGAAATACCTTTCTGGAGCTTGTTTGAGCGGCTTTACGAGCTTAGGGATTGTTTTTGTTCGGAAAGGCTGCTTGTTTTATACTCTGGTTTATCCCGATGCGACAAAAGCTGGGCGGTCTATGTTGGAAGACCTCATAACAGCAAAAAACAAAAACAAAAAAACATGAAAAAGTATTCACCTAGATCAAAATGTGCTACATGTTTACAAGCAGTTTGCATAAATAATCAGTAACCCTAACCCTTGGATAAGGAAGTTGTTTTTCCCCCCGCAATTATTTTCATAAAGGAAAACAAAGAAAGCAAACTTTACTTTAGAAACAAATCTGTTTTTATCCCACCAGGAGCAGGCTATGTCCATCTCCCTTCTGCTCAACACAATCTGCATACATACCACAACCTGCAGCTATGCGCTACTATAGGTCACATATTGGATTTCAACAGGGGTTGGGTGCTAAGTAATAAATGCTGAGAATGCCATGAAGAACAAATATAGGCTTGGCCTGCTTCCAAAATCTGTGTGACACTAATCTCCCTAATAGCCTGGAGCAGATCTCCAGCTATAAGCGCTGCTCAACGATTAGGGGGTCAAAGGTCTCAGGGGATTTCTCTGCTGTGCTGGAAGCTGAGTCACCTGTTCTACATCACAGCGTTGGCTTTCATCTCTGACAGAATAAAAAAAAAAGACACGCTCCTGAAGGTGGAGAAACCAACAGAGCCCAGTTTGTGGTGTCATATCCTGGAGATGCACTACATTTTAAACTATTCCTGGAATCCCTGTCTCTTTTCTGCTTTTACTTGGGAGTTACCAGTTTACTATATCTAAGCTGTGCTCACCGTTTGGTTGAAGCTGCCATTGAAACAATATCCTCATGATCACCTTATACAGCAACTTTTGCACATGTGGTTGCAGGTAGGGTGACTTTCTGAGGATTTTTCCACCCTGCATGAATACATACACCGAAAACAACCTGCAGATGTCTTTCCTTTTCTTAAATTGTTCCTCAGTCTATTGCATGAAGAAGGAAACAATTGTATGACTGTCTTGTGGAAGTGGCATGTTGGGCGTGTATCCGTCTCCCTTTGAGTGGGGAAGACCTGCCATCCCTGGTCTTGGAGATTTATTGTCCATGAAGCTAATCCCATTACTCAACTATCAGATGCCAAATCTCCTCTAATGGCATTACAGGCCTGAATTACGTATGATGATGCTTGCTGAGGAGGGCTCAGCAGATATTCCTTACTGGAACCACTGGTCCTTGTGCACAGAGTAAACCCCAAGGCTCTGCAGCTTAATGGACTCCGTATTGAGTGTCAAGGGAAGTCAAATTTATCGACAAAGGGCTTTTAACAAAAAGCAGGTTGCTCACAGACGGCACGGCAGAGATACAAAGGATGTAAATACATGTGAAATGTTAACAATCGAGGGTCTGTAGCGTGTGTCCGTGGGAGCTGCAGGGCGGCATTGAGGCCAAGTGGACACAGCATGAATGATGAATGGAAAGATCGAGTTTCAGACCTCAAATCAGGCTGCAATGCTGCTTCTAAGGGTCATGTTTAATGCTGCTATGACCTGTTCCAAGGTTACAAAATAATGAATGCTAAAGGACCGGAGGCAAAGAAAAAGCCAAATCAAACTGCAAGATCTGCATTCAAATGAATTTATTCTACAAAATAGAATAGAAAATCCCTTTATTATCCCACAATGGTGAAATTCTGGTGTTTACAGCAGCAAAAAGATTATAGAAAAAATGGTCACACAAATACGGATCTTAGAACTGTGTATTAAAATAGTAGTAAAGAGTTAAAAGATAAACAATACTATAATACTATTATATAAGCATAATATATAAGTATATAATTATATAAGTATCATATAAGAATAATAAATGAATGCAGTTGTAGTCACATAGTTTAAATGAACAATTTTAAAGACAGACCCTACAAAACCAACAAAAACATTAAAATATGTACAAATTGATTAAACTAAAACCAAATATTTTGACAAAAGAAGCAAACCGATGTTGATTTTTTTTCATCTTACATGCAGTTCATCTTCTGTTATTCATACATTTATGTACAAGGCAAATAATATGGACTTTTTGATTAAATGTATGTTTAAATTTCGATAATGTATTAATTAAAAACCATTGAGGAAAATGATGAATGGTGAAAAATAAAGGAGAATAAATGAAGAAATAAATGTTAAATGATCATAACAGGAAGATTCTGTTGAATATCTGTAACTTGCACTTTAATGTGCTAGATAAAGCATTTCCAAAACATCTATATAAACACAAATTAATTTGATAATAAAGCTAAAACTGAAAAAAGGAGCAAGCTTGATTTAAAAAGAAGGAAAAAAAACACAACAAGAGAGAAAAGTTAAATATATACAGTGAAAGACAAACAAATAAATACATAAAAAAACTCCTCCTTTACTCTAATATATGGTAAAAAATAAGTAAAATAAACATTTTAAGCCTAAAAAATGAGGAAATTTATAAGGAAATCAGTGTACTTTTAATTATTTTAGCAAATTTTTGCAATATGATAAAACTCTGACAAAAATGTTAATAGAAATAAAATAATGCATACAATTATGGATTCATACCTTTTTTAAAAGGTTTACATGCATAATAATGTGCATAATCATCTTGAAATGTTTACTGTATTTAAAGAGTTGTAGCTTCATCCGATGAGAAACGTTTATAAACGGTCCAAAACTGATTTATAAATGCACTAATTTAGATCGGATATTTTGAAAACAGTTGAAAAGACACAATCTCTGGAACATTTTCACAAAATTATGAATCAATTCTATCAAGATAATGTATAAGAGTCTATTTGGAAAAGAAGGACCTGCTGCTTGGGAGTTATAAGTCCTATCTGGCTTTTCTAGTCCACAACAAGCCAGGCGAAGCCTTTAAAGTACGTAGGTGGTTTTGTTGACATGTTTGCTTTTCGTCTCACAGCAGGAAAAGAAAGCCTGATATAAACTGTTGACACAAAGCTGGATGGATCTGTATTAACTAGAACACCCTTGCACTCAGGCATCAAAAGGAGATAAGGAAAGACATAGAGCTGAGTTAATACTAAACATTCAGGGTGTTTTGCTTTTGGCTTCTGGGTGGAAGGTGAGCAATGGCAATGAGATAAAATACCAGTAACAGCAGATTCCTTCCAAGACTTTTATTTTGTTTATAATCAAAACATAGAAGCGTCGAAAACATAGAATGTGAAAACAGAATTAAGCCTAGATTATAGGAAAATAAAGAGTATAGTTAACCATGGAGGAAAAGAAACAAAGAAGTCCATCAAATTAATGTTGATTCTAATAAAAAAGGCACGTGGCGCCGGATTTTCAGTGAAAGGTCATGTGTCCGTGTTGCTGGGCAGCATTAAGGGTCTTCCCTCTCCACAAGCAGGCGGCTAAAATAAAAGCCTCTCCTTCTGCTCTGAAAGCTTGCAGGGCAAAATGATTTATACTCCTGCTTTGGGCTTGTCGTGATGCCACTCAGAGCGATTTATCTTGTCTTGGCACCGCTGCTCGGTAGCAGAAGCCGGCCAAACCCCCCTTTCCCTCCTTTCTGTTGTTTCAGCATGAATGATCTCTTCCATTGACAGCTTTGTTCATCCCCGCAGGCAGATCTGCACCTGTAACCAAAGCCCGGTGGATACCAGCCTAATTACCGCTCTCATCTGGCACCCAGCTGCCTTCCTTGTCCTTGTGTGAACCTGTGCTGTAAAACCTCAGAAGGGGGAGTTTGAAAATGAGCCCTCAGCTGCTCGGAGCTGCTGTCCGCACAGATGGAGCCGAAGAGAGAGGGAGGTTTTCAAGGACTTGAGGTCAAATCAATGCACAGGCATCGTCAATCAGCAACGACAGCTTCTGTCACAGAGGCAGGTATCATCCGCCTTCTTAATCCTCGCCGTGCCTGCGCTGATCTGTGGCAGCTACTGTTTTTAAAACCAAACATGCTGGAGCTGTCAGCAGCGGAGCCTCGGAGCGCCAGGCTGGGGATGCCTGTGCTGCTGCTCCAAAGGTTGGTGAGTTCAGCCTGGAAACGGCAAATCA